AAGTGGCGTCATAACTACTGGGCTGGTAGTGGCGTCATGCCAACTGGGATGGTAGGGGCGTCATACCAACTGGGATGGTAGTGGCGTCATACCAACTGGGATGATAGTGGCATCATACCAAAGGGGATGGTAGTGGCGTCATACCAACTGGGATGGTAGTGGCGTCATACCAACTGGGATGGTAGTGGCGTCATACCAAAGGGGATGGTAGTGGCGTCATACCAAAGGGGATGGTAGTGGCGTCATACCAACTGGGATGGTAGTGGCGTCATACCAACTGGGATGGTAGTGGCGTCATACCAACTGGGCTGGTAGTGGCGTCATAGCAACTGGGCTGGTAGTGGCGTCATACCAACTGGGCTGGTAGTGGCGTCATAGCAACTGGGCTGGTAGTGGCGTCATATCAAAGGGGATGGTAGTGGCGTCAAACCCAGCCCTCCAGTACCCAGAGACTCGACCAATGAATTCCATCAGCAGATCTCCATCATCTCGTGCTGGTGTAACTAAAGAAATCTGTTCCAGCAATTAAAATAAAACTAAGGGGGGGGGGGTGTATTGGCGGTATTGTGTAGCAACTGATGACAAAGACGAGGCGAAAGTGGGGGGGGGGGGGGGGAGGGTGAGGTTGTTTTCACGGTCAACAAAAAGCGATCCCTCCATATTTATGGACTGTTAATTTCCATCCTAGATTTCTGCGTCTGCTGTCAACAGAGTTCGTCTGCAGTTTGTGGCAGCGTGTACAGTTTCACCGTGGCCATCTTGGCCAGATAATTTATGCACGCTCGTGGTTGGATCAGCTGGCCAATAGATCTTAGGTCAGCGGACAAACAGTTCTACAAAATGGACGTCCCGCATGAGCAGAAATCTGGCCAATAGGTTTGAACTGGTTAATACATGCCAGATTTGTTTCTAGTTGGCAGAAGAAAAAAAATTGAGAAAAAAAAAAAAGAAACGGTACAAATCAGGTGGGTATAGCGCTGCTAGATGTTAGCAAAAAGTTGTCCGTAAGTTGTCAGTAGTCTAAGATAATCAGAACGCAAGCAAGCAAGGAAACAAAAGTTGTCCATAAATAAAGTGACCAGCCTAAGATTGACAGAACACACGTGCCAACAGCCGGGCAGAACGTGAGTCCACTGACACGCCAGCTAGCCAGTGTCCAGCAGACAAGAAGCCATTCATTTGCTCCCAATGTCCAGAGGTTCCATCATGGTGCCGGCCTGCATGACACATCATGGCGGGGGTGGGGCGGGTAATTGGTACATGATCATGTGTACTGGGGGTAGGGCCCGCTAGTTAGGGAGTAGTGAGTTAACTAGAGGAGGAGGGGGGGGGGGGGTGATGCTACTTTTTATAGTAGGTTGGTGGTGTGTGTGTGGGGGGGGGGGGGGGGGGATAGGGTTTAGATGGTGCTTGGTATAACCCAACATGTCTACAAGAGAAGGACACACAGATTGTTGTTATAGTGTAGGTAGTACAACCCTGATGGGGCCAATGTTAGCGGTGTTGGTGTAGGCCAAGTTGTGAGATGACATTAGATAATAGCAGGTTTTTAATTGTGTACACGTGATAGGGTAGACAAAATAGATGCAATTATTTGAGGTAGACAAAATAGATGCAATTATTTGAGGTAAACAAACTCCGCCATCACCAACTCCTCACACCCCGCACCATCAGACGTGTGAACCCCCAGCCAGAAAAACAAAATTCTAAAAACTTGTCGGCACCACTTCACGAGATTCCAGTCTAGGTTGTTGTTCCACACAACCGCTGTACTTGGCTAGGGGTGGGGTGGTCAGCCTTAGAATAACACAGAGATGGACAGAGCGGGGGAGGGGTGGGGGACAACAACTGACCCCTGTCCACCCGTAAATTAACTTTGGCATTAGCCGAGAGAATCCTAGCCCTATTTATTTTCAGTGTTTACTCACCCCTGCCTCGAATGGAGATGGCTTCATTTCCCGCTCGTGGGACCCAACAGTTTGTTTTTCCGGGACCAGTCGCCCACACCAGGGGACAGAACCGAGGATTATACCGCACCATCAACATAAAGGATGAGTTACTTTTTAAAAACTGGGTTGGGGGTATTTTTAGCGCGACTGACCGGTGGTCAAGATCTAGTAAAAGTTGAAAAAACACGGTCTTGAGAGCGCTGTCAAGCAAGGAGGGGGGGGGGAAGGATAGATCGTGACAGAGGCGGGGCGAGGAAATGACGGACTTAACTGACAACTTGATATGCATAAGTAAGTCAATCGATTCAATAGAGAAATTAAAGTTCATTAGACGGAACGGGACCTTTTCTCTAAAACTAAATAAATGTCGAGTTTTTCAACATGATGATTTGGTGAGGTGGACAGGCTGAGTTAATACCGTGAGTTTGGTGCCAGACTGGTCAACTTGGTCTATCAAGTTTGTCAAATATCAGGTTGGTCAACTAGCACATTGGTCAACTAGCACATTGGTCAACTAGCACATTGGTCAGCTAGCACATTGGTCAACTAGCACATTGGTCAGCTAGCACGTTGGTCAACTAGCACATTGGTCAGCTAGTACATTGGTCAACTAGCACATTGGTCAACTAGCACATTGGTCAACTAGCATATTGGTCAACTAGCACATTGGTCAACTAGCACATTGGTCAACTAGTACATTGGTCAACTAGTACATTGGTCAACTAGCACATTGATCAACTAGCACATTGGTCAACTAGCACATTGGTCAACTACCATATTGGTCAACTAGCACATTGGTCAACTAGCACATTGGTCAACTAGCACATTGGTCAACTACCATATTGGTCAACTAGCACATTGGTCAACTAGCACATTAGTCAACTAGCACATTGGTCAGCTGCACATTGGTCAACTAGCACATTGGTCAACTAGCACATTGGTCAACTAGCACATTGGTCAACTAGCACATTGGTCAACTAGCACATTAGTCAACTAGCACATTGGTCAGCTGCACATTGGTCAACTAGCACATTAGTCAACTAGCACATTGGTCAACTAGCACATTGGTCAACTAGTACATTGGTCAACTAGTACATTGGTCAACTAGCACATTAGTCAACTAGCACATTGGTCAACTAGCACATTGGTCAACTACCATATTGGTCAACTAGCACATTGGTCAGCTAGCACATTGGTCAACTAGCACATTGGTCAACTAGCACATTGGTCAACTAGCACATTGGTCAACTAGCACATTGGTCAACTACCATATTGGTCAACTAGCACATTGGTCAACTAGCAAATTGGTCAACTAGCACATTGGTCAACTGCCACAGACGGTTGATAGTGTGTATAGTAGGTGTGGTTGTGGGATTCAGGTTGGGTAGAAAAGCGATACAGCCTCCCGACTACAGACATTGACGTTAGAAAAAACCGAGTGAGTAAATTGTCCTGATGTAGGTCCACGCGCTAACTGGCGCCCCAATCGACGTAGTGACCTCCCCTACCAAGGGCAGACAACTCCCCATTAAAATCTCCGGTCATGTACGTGTAGACTGGTAGTCACAGCGCTAGACAACCGACGCAGAAATTCGTCTGCTCCCGTTCATGTCACGCTTCCCGCCAACTGCCAGGACTTATTCGATATGCCCTTTCAAAACGAGGCCACAAATAATAGAGAATTATTCTAATATCAAACTAACGACTGTTTGCAACACAACACGTACTCTATGCTTATCTAATAAGTGAAAATTTAAAGGGGAGGGGAGAAGGGGGGTGATGCTATTTTTTTGCTTTTTGGTAGATGTCAAATAGCAAAGTTGAACTCAATTTTCTCACACTAGTTGTGTTACACGGATGTTGGGGGGAGGGAGGGAGGGGGAATATAATTATAAATTAATAACGTGCTAGTGTCGGTGTGTGTGGGGGGGGGGGGCACTCTAAAGGTATCGGCAAACAGTGGCGACATCGATAAGGACGAAGACTGACGTCATTCCATTCATGGCGTCCGCCACGTCATCGGTTATTGGAAACTGTTTAGTGCAATGGTGGAGGGGAGGGGTGGAGGGGTTTAGTGCAGTAGTGGAGGGGAGGGGTGGAGGGGTTTAGTGTAATGGTGGAGGGGAGGGATGGAGGGGTTTAGTGCAGGGGTGGAGGTGAGGGGTGGAGGGGTTTAGTGCAGTGGTGGGGTGAGGGGGAAGGGAGGGAATGGAATACTCCAGTGGAAAATAACTCAATAAACAAATTAATGTTATTCTCAACCTAATCACTACTACCCATCAAATGTCTTACTCTAATTAACTTAGGCCCAACATGCTCCTGCGATATAACTGGTTAAAGATATGACCTATGTAAACAAACAGTATAACCAACTAGGTGCACACGTCAGCTAGCTTTAAACATGTTTTGTCTCGATGTGGAATTACCACCAGCTTTCATCGAAACTTTATCTCAGCTCATGACGATGGTATACAAAGACTGCACAAATGTACGAGACTACCCCCCCCCCCCCACTCTCGATGAGACTCACGGACCCCTCCCCCTCCCCCCACCCCCTCGCTGTGAGACTCACGAATTGTTGAGGAGAGACTTGAGTCAAATGACGTCATGACAGCATCGTCTGTTCAACCAACAAATAACGATAACTCTGTAACGGAACATTACGGCAAGATTTCTCTCCCTTACATAGCCATACTAGTACGAGAGTTAGCTTTTCTTACCCAAACTAGGTTTTAAAAAATTAGTAAAATCAACGCCAAAGGACGGATGATGACTAAATAACCACTGGGAGATAACACACACAGGCTAACTGGTCAAATTGACCAACAGTGGTCCAAGTGTCAAGCTGATCACGTGGGGTGGATCGTCAAACCTGTCTGGTCACGTGATTCTGGTCTGGTCATCCATGCTAAAATATTTTGATGTGGGGGGGGGGGGGGGTTAAGTGTAGTGTAGTCCAGACAGTGTAGAGGGGTTAAATGAGTGGGGTGGGGGTAGAATCAAAAGTTGTAGATCCCAGAGACCACGTGTGTAGAGAGCAGATGTACTCACCTTGATGCAGACCGAGGTGCGGCAACATGCTGGCGGCCAGGGCGAACGGCCGCTGGAAGAGCTGCATCTGCTGCATGAGCTGCTGGTGCTGGAGGAGCAGGGTCTGGAAGCTCTGGCTGCTGTGGGAGGGCTTCAGGCCCTTCCCCGAGCTGCTGTCTTTGATCATCTGGGCCTGCTGCATGATGTTCAGCTGCAGCTGCTCGCTCAGGGTCTGGTAGTCTTGTTGCTGTGGGGGAGAGGGGGGGGGGGGAAGACACGGCACCAACGTCAGCTACATTTTTAAAGGCATCAACATCAACTAGTGGTTAAGAGACTAATTTTGTTTATTCTTACACTAAGCTTAATGGATTAAATATGATAATGCTCTGTGTATAAAGTGTCCAGTTGGCCAGTTATGTGTATAGTGCCATATTGGCCAGATAAAATGTGTATGTAGTGCCATATTGGCCACATAAAACGTGTATGTAGTGCCATATTGGCCAGATAAAATGTGTATGTAGTGCCATATTGGCCACATAAAACGTGTATGTAGTGCCATATTGGCCAGATAAAATGTGTATGTAGTGCCATATTGGCCACATAAAACGTGTATGTAGTGCCATATTGGCCAGATAAAATGTGTATGTAGTGCCATATTGGCCAGATAAAATGTGTATGTAGTGCCATATTGGCCAGATAAAACGTGTGTACCTGCTGCATTGCCATCGTGTGTTGTTGCATCATCTCCTGCAGGGCGCGGGGCAGGCCGGGATGCTGGAGCGACTGCTGGAGCTGACCCTGTTGCTGGGCAACCATCATCAGGAGGTTCTGTTGCTGGATCTGGGCAGCAGACGAGTCGATGGACTTGGCCTTTCGTTTGGCCGCCCCACACAGGACTGGGTTCGTCTTGGCCAGGGCCATGTTAGGGGGCTGGGGACGACAAGATTTGATTGGTTAACTACTTGGCCAGGGACATATTGGGGGGCTGGGGACGACAAGATTTGATTGGTTAACTACTTGGTCAGTGACATGTTGGGGGGGGGGGCTGGGGACAACAAGATTTGATTGGTTAACTACTTGGCCAGGGACATATTGGGGGGGGGGGGGGGGACGACAAGATTTGATTGGTTAACTACTTGGTCAGGGACATATTGGGGGGGGGGGGGGACGACAAGATTTGATTGGTTAACTACTTGGTCAGGGACATATTGGGGGGGGGGGGGGGACGACAAGATTTGATTGGTTAACTACTTGGTCAGTGACATGTTGTGGGGGGGGGGGGAGGGAGGGGGGCTGAAAACGACTGGTTAACTCATGTGAAATTATATTTGATAACAATGGACCGTCTAGTAGATGGCACTGAGCTAAAGTGAGAGGAGCTAGCGAGACCAACCCCAGCAGAACCAAGCAGTTGTTGACAATATTGTGAACCAATGACAGCGTGACACATGAACAAACAATAGCCAGTTCTGATACAACAGGTTGGGTGTTGACGACATTCAAGGATCGCTGGTCGGGTGACAGTCAGGTCATGCAACAATGGCGCACATCATACAAGATCTTATCGCAGTCATACGTGGGACGGTCATTGTTCAATGTGGCTTTGGTTCAACCACAGCCACAACATGCTGACGTCACATGGTTCAACCACAGCCACAACAAGCTGGCTTCACATGGTTAAACCACAATCCTACATACGACACAATGTCACCACAAACCTTATACACCATAAGGTTACCACAATCCTACACTACGCCAACACACTGTAGGACACACTGTGTGTAGCTAATATCTATGGGATCTATCTATTGTATAAACTATAGGACACACTGTGTGTAGACTGTGTGTAGCTAATATCTATGGGATCTATCTATTGTATAAACTATAGGACACACTGTGTGTAGACTGTGTGTAGCTAATATCTATGGGATCTATCTATTGTATAAACTATAGGACACACTGTGTGTAGACTGTGTGTAGCTAATATCTATGGGATCTATCTATTGTATCCACTACAGGACACACTGTGTGTTGATTGTGTGTAGCTAATATCTATGGGATCTATCTATTGTATCCACTACAGGACACACTGTGTGTTGATTGTGTGTAGCTAATATCTATGGGATCTATCTATTGTATCAACTGTATCGTGACGGGGGAGGGGGGATCAGAGTATTGTGTAATCGTTTTTACCGCCAACACTTTGGTTAATTGTTGCACCGTTGAAATCACAGCAACAGATGATTGTAACCCCCCGCCCCCTCCTCTTTTTTGTCAGACTGTCGACAACATCCAACACGTTTTTACGGCAGATGTTGGACCAACAGTGTAGGACAACTGCTGACAGATGTTGGACTAACAGTGTAGGACAACTACTGACACAAGAAGATGTGTAGACAGTCATATCAACTGTTGGGCAGAATATCTGACAAGATAAATATTAAAATAAGTCACAATTTTTTTTAGAAGATTTGGTTTTGACGCCACCATTTCCATCTGTGTGTCGACGATATTAAATCCTTGACACTGTCTAGACAAGACCACTGCAAAACTTCAATGTTTTGACGCCAACATTTAAAAAATGATAATTGCTCTTATGGATGTCATTCGACGGGGTGGGGGGTAGCAAGGTGTTCTTGAGGTAATTATAAACATTAAATATATTCAGAGAACCAGACACCTCCAACCCCCCCCCCTCCCCACACACACTCACAAACTTCCCGCTCACTTGGTGTGCAATTCTTTTTTCTACGAGATTCAATTGTATTTTAATAAGTGTAAGTAATTTAATAAACCGGGAGTGATCACCCCTAAACTTTCTCGAATATTCTTATATAAAACAACAGGGGATGGGAACTTGGGATATAGTTATGATTTTTTATCCATTTTAAATACTTAAACTTTTTAAAATAGAATAGGATCTCATAAAAAAAAAAAGAATTGCGCACCAAGCGAACGCCGAATAAAGATGTGTATAATAGTGCGGAATATTATTAGTACTTAATAAATTCACACGCGTTTTATGAGAAATCGGAAATAGCGTAAATTAGTACTTCCAGTCAACGGAAATTACTCAAAATTCGAAAGAATGTAGAGAATTAGATCTTTTACGTACATGTGAAATTTCATTTATCTATCTGAAATATTACTCAAGTTATAGGCTTTTGAAAAATTCAAAGTAGAAAAAGTAACACTTCCGGTTATCGGAAATCGCTCAAAAGTTGATACGGATCTACGATTTTGATAAAATACTTATGTATGAAATTTCATCAACCTAGCTGTAACGGTACTCAAGTTATCGTGTTTACACACATACACACACACAGACATACAGACAAGATTGCAAAATTATGTTTTTCCGTATCAGTGAGGTGTAAAACGTCGAGATTTGTAAAAATTTCGATTTTTTTTTTTGCAAGATTACAAGACTTTCTCTATACTTCGTATATACGAGAAAGTAAAAATGGATTAAAAATCATGTAATAACATATGTAAATATCCAGGTCATCATACAGTTATACAGTTGATTAGAGAGGTAATCCACAGATATGCATGTTAGCATATAGGTAATCATACAGTTATACAGGTGATTATAGGAGTAACAACACAGGTAAATATGCAGGTAATCATACAGTTATGCAAGGAGATTATAAAGGTAATCACACAGGTAAATATGCAGGTCATCAAAAAAAATCGTGCAGGTAATCAAATTAATTAATTAAAGATGCTAATTTCCTTTCTTTATTACTCTTGACAAAATTCAAGCCAGAATAGGATGGGTGTGAAAAGCGAGCAGACAGGGGGTGGGGGAGCTGTGGGATGTCAGGGTGACAAATGACAGGTGTCACGAGCAGCGACGGGCTGTTTCCTCGAATCATTCAACAGACAAACAAAACACTAACAAGGAAACGGACAACAACATCGTCTGCGGGCAGCTGACACAAACATAAACAACACCAGCAACAATGGACGTGAGATGTATGACACCAGTTGATTGGTCCTGGTGGTCAGCGGAGGTCAGTTAGGACAGTCTGGTCAGCAGAGGTCAGTTAGGACAGTCTGGTCAGCAGAGGTCAGTTAGGACTGTCTGGTCAGCAGAAGTCATTGCGACACGTGACAAATAAGGCGCCAACACTCAGATCATTTTTAACTTCCTGATACATGTAAGCAATTCTAAATCTCGACCCATCTATTTAATCAGAAATGAGTACACACAATTTATAGGCTATGCTATATTATCTAAAACAAATGTATATCAAATGATGACGTTCAAGCATGGACGTTTTATGGTCCGCCCCACCCTCTCCCTATGATGTGGCCACACCAACTCTACTTCATCTGTCTCAACGACAAGAGTGCGATTACCAATTTGTACAATTGACTAATTTGGTGTTTTAACCCAATTAATTCAAGAAACACAGCCTGAATGATATTTTGACGGAATGATAAAGTTCATCGCTAGTATGGAAGAATTATCGCACAGTTTATCACACAATTTATCGGACTAAAATATGGCAAATTCTCAAATAGGACTAGCAACATTTTGCTTATTATCCACCTTGATTGATCTAATACGCTAATTAAATAATTAGTGTATTTGTCGGCTTCAAATGACGCGTCAATAGAATCAAGCACGTGAACTTTACCAACACACCGGCCATACTATTTCAGTCCAGGAGTTCAGGGGTCAGAGGTGACTGTTTCGACATGACGTCTCCGTCAGAAGACATTACAACGGTATGGAAACAGCAGCAAGCAAGTTTTGAGGGCTCTAGATGTGGGCTGGCTACACTAAGGCTCTAGATGTGGGCTGACTACAGGGAGGCTATAGACTACTATAGAGTATAGCATATTGTGGGCTGGCTAAAGTTGAGCCACCGCCATCACTGATGTACACCGTCACCAGCTACAGGTCGGGACGTGTGGCGAGGGTTATTTTAAGAGAGACATGTCACGAGGGGGGGGGGGGGGGGTACGCAGTGGTGTCTAATCATCACCAATAACATGGCGTCTTTAAGGTGGTGAGCTGGCTCGGGTATTGGCTGGGTTTACGTGGGGGGGGGGATGTTGGGTTAACTGAAACTATCGATGCTGTGGGGTGGCTGATGTCTGTACACAAACACAAGATGTTCATCTCATCGATGGCGCAGTGTATCTCGTCTATAGCGTTCATATCCCATAACATCATCAGCTCATTCCATTGGCCAGGTGATGCACGCGTCATTAGTAGGGAACTCATTAGGTGAATACGCATAAGGTGAACACGCATAAGGCGAACACACGGAACTACTGGACTAAAATAATCCATATTTTGGGAGACTGGAATGAGCCTCAACAGACCCTCACCCGTGGGTCACAAAAGACCCTCCCCCCCCCGTGGGTCACAAAAGACCCGCACCCAGTGACCCCGCCACTTACGTGTGTACCTGGTGAACCTGCCCTGACATTTGCCTGGAGATGCGCGCGCAGGTCAACTCGCCCAAATGTCAGACTGCGATGATTGCCGCCGTGTACACGCACTTAGAGCAGACAAACAAGCGCTTGTCTTTCGCTTCCCGCCGGCCAGGGGACCTGGGTTCTAAACACACTCACACCCGGAGCGAAAACCAATTAGACGATTCTCAATCACGATTTTAAAAAAAATCTTTGTTTCTGCCGATTTTTTTTTACATCATTACATCATACACGTCTCTCATACACCCCTTCATAAAATGGTGAACATGAAATAGCGCTCATCTCTTTTGATGAGGGCTGTTTCATGGGATCTCACAAGTCCATTGTAATTTGACAACAAGACGGAATAAACACCCCACCAAACTGGTACAGTGCTAAGTTGACGCTATATTGTTAATGGTGTGGAATCTTTCCCTAGGCAACAAGTGGCATCAACAGGGGTGTTAGAGGCGTGACAGTAAGAACAGGCGTGACAA